TAAAGGTGTTATGGATGTCCTTTTTAAAATTTTTGTTTGTGGTTTTATTTTCAAGGGTCTTACCCCTTATGAGACCCAACCCACACTTCCTCTGGCTGATTTCCCACCGTGCACCCCCACCCCTCAGTCCCACCTCAATGTCTACCACTGCCAGCCTTTTCCTTTGCCGTTGTAGTGAATGCAACACATAGGTTGCTCTCTATTCGAATAGAACACGTACGCGTTATATTCGAACAGCCCGGATTTTTTAATACAACGCATATACGTTCTATAACTTCTATTCGGATTTTTGAAAATTTTGAGAACTCGAATACAACACATAATATGCGTTATGTTCGGGGGAAGATGGTAGGCCTAGGCCCATGTCAACCTGGCGTATTACCGGCCACATCAGAGCAAAATAGCTGGGAAAGGGACTGGTGGTTTGAACCACAAGTGCCTGGCCTAGCTTTTTCTTTTCGAGCGGGGCCGCTAATGCCGTGACCTTTGGGGTTTGGGGCCATGAGTTTCATCACCGGCCTGCAGAACGGCCCGAACCGCTGAGATTCACGGCGCTGTCCTGCGGCCATATACTGGCCCAGGTACTGGTGGATTAACCCGCAGTCCAGCGAGGCCTGAGTGGAGCTTGTGATGACGTACACAAAAGTGGCACATTGGATGTATCAGCCTGCCTACCGTCTTCACCGGAATAGAACGCCCGGTCGTCATTGCTGTATCTGGACTGAAAGTGGGCTAAATTCAGCTATAATGACCGTCCGTTCTATTCAGAATGCAGGCTGATGCAGACCAATGGTGGCGTAGTATGACTGCGAAGGAGTTCAGGGTTTAGGCCCTTTAGGGTTTCGGGTTTAGGCCCTTTAGGGTTTAGGGTTTAGGGCTTAGGGTTTAGGGTTTTGGATTTATTTAACAGGCAAGCACACAGTAGTACAATAGCTTGTTGCAGGTAACTGCAGTTAAACCACCAGTACTTTCTACAGTTGTGCCCGTTAACAAGCCACAATTTTAGGAAACGTAGGTGCGACTACAGGAGCGTCCAAATTCATCCGACTAGAAACATTTCTACTCTATTCATTTCTGCGGCCGATAGCTGGGGCCAAGTACTGGTGGCTTAAAGCACCAGTACACTACACATCGACTCACAGGTGTCAGCACGAAACCCGCACCACTTCGGAGGCCGCCAATTTTTTGTTTTCAACGGCGCCCCACGCCGCGCGGCGCCTCCGAGTTTTGCTTGTGGTGACAAAAACTTTCTGCAAGGCTGGGGCCGTGTACTAGCGGTTTAAGCCGCTGTGGTATGTGACTATGGAGGCCAGATGAACAATGACCAGACCAGGGTTTAGGATGAAGGGTGTCGTCGACTTTTGTGTCTTCATCGTGCAGCCGGGGGCTTCAGGGCTTCGCTCGTTTTGTTCATGGGCCCATAAGATAAGAGGCCGTAGGCTGCTTCACAAGCAGAGAAGCAAGCAACAATTTGAAAGCGCTTGTACAACGTCTCTAATCTAATTAAAATTATTAAATTAGATTAAAATAGAATGTCGGTCGACCGTACAAGTAAAATTTTAAACAAAATGACAGGTCCCTAGGTTGGATTCGAACCAACGACCCAATAGATAGGGTACTAAGCAGTGCGTGTAGTCTGCCTAAGCTTCCCTCATCGAGGGGTTGACGGCATTTTTGATATTCACAGGTTCGCACAGGTAAGCTGGTAGGTAATTGTGGAGGCCACCAGGGCAATGCTAATAGATCAAGACTCAGGCATTAGGATTTTAATGTCCTTTCATTGCTCCGTGTTGCAACCAGGGTTTAGGGTTTAGCGTTTAGGGTTTGGGGTCTCTTTTCCACAGGTAAGCACCGCGTAATGCCAAACGATTTGTTGCAGTTAGCTGCTGTTACACCACCAGTACCTTTCCCAGCTATTTTTTCAGAGGCGCGCGCTGGGGTAACACACTGGCCTGAAACAGAAGGGTGGCTGCCGATCAATCGAATTGGCGGCCAATCGTGATTTTCGGGACGGTGCGCAGTGCCCGCGGCCGACGTATGGGAAAGGTACTGGTAGTTTTAAACCACCAGTCCTGTCTCTTATACACATCTAGATGTGTATAAGAGACAGGTACTACTACCGTTTATCTCAGCTGACTGCGGTTAAGTCGCTGGCACGTGCGACTGTGGAACAGGTTAAACTGCAGTAAAGCGGTTGGTTCGTCGAGTCTATGGAAGAAGCAATGCCATCAGCACTTCCTTCAGTGAGCCCGATGCTTGATCCTGTATGGTTGGCAGCGCGTCGTTTGAGGAGATGGAAGACTCAAGAATGCGAAGACATATGCGCAGAGCTGTTGGAGCGAAACCCTTACGATCAGGTACGTTTGCCAGGTATTCGTATGGTTATTTACAGAATATTTAATATAATTAATATTATTTAATAATCATTGAATATTTATGTACTTATCTTGGCCTTTAACATTGAGTTATTGAGATGCTTCAAATTTTAGGGCCAATGCTGTCCGCTGACTGCGCTCGCTAAAGATTTGACTCTTCTCGAAACTGCGAGTAGAAATGAGTCCACCGCATGACATTTCATTGATTTGCAAAGTTTTACACTGAACAAATGGCTGTCTGAGATTTCAGCAATTTCTGCAAAAATCTGAGAAAAAACGTCGCCTTTTCAAAATAGAGCCTAAAAAACAAGTCATTTCATTTCCAGTCAAAATTCTGTTCCTGTTCTTTCGTTTGTCTTCTTCTTCTTCTTGCCTCACCTCGCCTCATTCTTCCTCTATTTGAGTTGTGATTGATTGGCATGGTCCCTTCTTTGAGTTTTCTATTGAGAGCTGACTAGGATCATAGCACTTTTTTTTTTTTTTTTTTTTTTGTGCCGGTAGTGTCTGTAATAACCCTGTTCAGCAGTCGACCTGGGGCCCAAACCTTAGCCCCAGGCCACGCAGTCTGTGGAAGACTGCGCCGGGCTGTGTAACCAACACATGCCCCGRCCTGAGTAAACTGCGTACGGCTGTGGGACCGAACGCCAAGACTTAGGAAAATCAAAGGTCAAAGTCAACTGTCAGTCAAAGTACCATGCCAGGTCTTGGATCAGATTCATTCACTTGTTGAGTGCAGGTACCCAGACTACGACCCTGGCCAAAGAAGATACAGTTGCAGATCTATCCAGACCCTCCAGGCAAGGAGATCTGGACGGCTGAGGTTGGATACTACCGGGGATCAGACCCCGAGTCAACACTATAAGAGCATTGGCTCCTTGACTTTGGGAATTCTGGCTGTCTTGCGTTGACGCTGTTTTCAGCGCCTGACTCTCGCAGCCTTGGTTTGACGCTGCKAGACTGGAGGAAGRCCGGCATTTGCTGACATGGTGAGTTACCGCTGGCTGGCTTGCTATCTGGCTGGCGACTGTCTCTGATCTGCTGACGTGGCAGTCGCCACGTATTGCTGCTGACGTAGCGTTGCCACGTGTCGTACTGTCGGATCCTTACGACCGGCTATTGATCATTGGCTTCGTTACTTCAAGGAGGGGTCGTGACTATTCGGGATGAGATCAGGACTTGTGAGGTGTTGTGAATACGTACCTGATGTCTTCATGACGATGAGGCTCCAGCGCTAATTAATGTATTGATCGGTGCCACGTGGCACCCGGAGGCTGAGTCTCTAATTTGTATTCAGATCATTACTGATGTGGAGTTGCTGTCGTAGGAGGAGCCCGGAGAAGGAGTGGGCCTTATCCCTCTCCCTTGTCTAATCTCCCCCACCTCTCTTCGTCCGTGTATGATTATCTCACCCCCCACTTTCTTACTGATACTATTGTCGTTGAAGATCTATCATTGGTTCGATAATCTTGGCTTTCAGTGTCGACATTGTATCCACGA